TTCCAAATCCTTCCATCCTTGTACGATTGATGAGTGTGGCTTCCCTCAGGGTTTGTTTCCATGAACCACTTGGCCCATCAGAACAATCCTTCCAGGTTTCTTTCCTCTCGAGTCCCCTCTGTCAATAGCTCATGAGGATGTGTGTAAGCACCTGCATGACCAAGTGTTTGCCTCTATGATGAACCCTGCCTATTTTGAGCTTGAGTCTTCCCCCTTAATCGATGAGTTATGAGGTTCCAGAGTTGTCTTCACTAGCTGACAATCCTCATTTTCTGCTTTGGGGCTTGGTGCAGCTTTTGTTGTTCGCGTACACGCGAATGACACGAGGTGGCAACCATGTTTCAGGAGTTTTTGGGCAGCCCTTCTTTGTGCCATTCAGTGACTGCCTGTTTGCGACTGTAATTTCCTGGGATGTGGTTTGGTGTAGCTCTATACCCATGTGCCTTTGATATCGGCAGCCCTCATGGTGCAGGCCTTTCAGGTTCGCTCGCATTTGGCTTCGCTCATGCAGTTTTTGGCCCTTTATGGAACTCCACTCTGAGTGGCACCACGAGGATGTTGAGGCATTTGGCTCTGGGCCTGGTGCGGGTGCTTTGGTGTCTGCTGTAGCATCGTCAACAGCTTTGCCCAAGCTGTATGTGCCACTGCTCCGGGAGGCAGTGGCCACAATCTACGCTTCCTGCTCCATGTGTCAACAGGTTGTGTTGGCATAGTCTTTGGATTTGGCTTGGGCACCTTTTGTTTGCCTTCCCATTTTTGCCTCTCTTATCAGAGGATGTTGTGGGTCAGTTTTTTCTTCTGCACTATGAAAGAAATTAAAATGTAAAATGTAACCCACATATAAAACAGTCAGATACCACTATAAAATGAAAAAGCAATGTAAAGTATCTGGGAGTCAGATAATTTATTTTCAAATAAATATAATGTAGTAGTTTTTTCTACGTTTTGTGTGAAGTTGTTGATTGATATCTATGAGTGGACTTTCTATTCATTATTAACTACAGTACACTATACTGTATATAATTTATGGTTTGAGAGTTGGGGCTAGAGAGGTGAAAGTTGTGTCATTAGCAAATTAGTACAGTGGACCCCAGATTCGGCAAACTATTTGGCACCAACCCTAATACTGTACGTTGAAGTGAGGGATTTGTTGCAACCAGAGATGCCTTCAGGAGGCATTTATTTAATGTATTTTTGTAGTAATATAAATCAAGAATAATTCATCATATATACAGTACTACTAAACTGTTCAATAATGAATAATACAGTATCTTTATATATGTTAGAAAAGGCATACTGTATATAGTATACTGTATACAGTATTTTCCTTGAAGCCTCTTTAAGTGCCATTTGTAATTATAAACACCTTGCATGTGATGATTACAAAAGATGTGTCAGTAACTGTCAGAAGGGGGGGCCTCGTAGCCTGGTGGATAGCGCGCAGGACTCGTAATTCTGTGGCGCGGGTTCGATTCCCGCACGAGGCAGAAACAAATGGGCAAAGTTTCTTTCACCCTGAATGCCCCTGTTACCTAGCAGTAAATAGGTACCTGGGTGTTAGTCAGCTGTCACGGGCTGCTTCCTGGGGGTGGAGGCCTGGTCGAGGACCGGGCCGCGGGGACACTAAAAAAGCCCCGAAATCATCTCAAGATAACCTCAAGATAACTGTAAACAAACATCGCTATTCCCACCACACTGGATACCAACCTGAGTGAGGGAGGGGAGGCATTGAGGGAGGAGAAGCATGGAGGCAGAGATGAGAGGCAGTGAGTGAGGGATAGGAGGCAGTGAGGGATGGGAGGGAGGGGAAGCAGTGAGGGAGGGATGGGAGGCAGTGATGGAGGGATGGGAGGGAGGGGAAGCAGTGAGGGAGGGAGGGAGGGAGGGAGGGTAGGCAGTGAGGGAGGGAGGGAGGGAGGGAGGGAGGGAGGGTAGGCAGTGAGGGAGGGAGGGAGGGAGGGAGGGTAGGCAGTGAGTGAGTGAGGGAGGGAGGGAGGGAGGGAGGGTAGGCAGTGAGGGAGGGAGGGAGGGAGGGAGGGAGGGAGGGTAGGCAGTGAGGGAGGGAGGGAGGGAGGGTAGGCAGTGAGGGAGGGAGGGAGGGAGGGTAGGCAGTGAGGGAGGGAGGGAGGGAGGGTAGGCAGTGAGGGAGGGTAGGCAGTGAGGGAGGGTAGGCAGTGAGGGAGGGAGGGAGGGAGGGTAGGCAGTGAGGGAGGGAGGGAGGGAGGGGAGGCAGTGAGGGAGGGAGGGGAGGCAGTGAGGGAGGGAGGGAGGGAGGGGAGGCAGTGAGGGAGGGAGGGTAGGCAGTGAGGGAGGGAGGGTAGGCAGTGAGGGAAGGAGGGAGGGAGGGAGGGAGGGAGGGAGGGAGGGGAGGCAGTGAGGGAGGGAGGGGAGGCAGTGAGGGAGGGAGGGGAGGCAGTGAGGGAGGGAGGGTAGGCAGTGAGGGAGGGAGGGTAGGCAGTGAGGGAGGGAGGGAGGGAGGGGGGGAGGCAGTGAGGGAGGGTAGGCAGTGAGGGAGGGGAGGCAGTGAGGGAGGGAGGGGAGGCAGGGAGGGGAGGCAGTGAGGGAGGGAGGGGAGGCAGGGAGGGGAGGCAGTGAGGGAGGGAGGGGAGGCAGGGAGGGGAGGCAGTGAGGGAGGGAGGGGAGGCAGTGAGGGAGGGAGGGGAGGCAGTGAGGGAGGGAGGGAGGGGAGGCAGTGAGGGAGGGAGGGAGGGGAGGCAGTGAGGGAGGGAGGGAGGGGAGGCAGTGAGGGAGGGAGGGAGGGGAGGCAGTGAGGGAGGGAGGGAGGGAGGGGAGGCAGTGAGGGAGGGAGGGGAGGCAGGGAGGGAGGGGAGGCAGGGAGGGAGGGGAGGCAGGGAGGGAGGGGAGGCAGGGAGGGAGGGGAGGCAGGGAGGGAGGGAGGGGAGGGAGGGAGGGAGGGAAGGGAGGCAAGGAGGGAGGGAGGGGAGGCAAGGAGGGAGGGAGGGAGGGGAGGCAGGGAGGGGAGGGGAGGCAGGGAGGGGAGGCAGGGAGGGGAGGCAGGGAGGGGAGGCAGGGAGGGGAGGCAGGGAGGGGAGGCAGGGAGGGGAGGCAGGGAGGGAGGGGAGGCAGGGAGGGGAGGCAGGGAGGGAGGGGAGGGAGGGGAGGGAGGGAGGGAGGGAGGGAAGGCAGGGGAGGCAGTGAGGGAGAGAGGGGAGGCAGTGAGGGAGAGAGGGGAGGCAGTGAGGGAGAGAGGGGAGGCAGTGAGGGAGAGAGGGGAGGCAGTGAGGGAGAGAGGGGAGGCAGTGAGGGGAGGGAGGGGAGGCAGTGAGGGAGTGAGGGAGGGAGGGGAGGCAGTGAGGGAGGGAGGGAGGGGAGGCAGTGAGGGAGGGAGGGAGGGAGGGGAGGCAGTGAGGGAGGGAGGGAGGGAGGGGAGGCAGTGAGGGGGAGAGAGGGGAGGCAGTGAGGGAGGGAGGGGAGGCAGTGAGGGAGGGAGGGGAGGCAGTGAGGGGGAGAGAGGGGAGGCAGTGAGGGGGAGAGAGGGGAGGCAGTGAGGGGGAGAGAGGGGAGGCAGTGAGGGGGAGAGAGGGGAGGCAGTGAGGGGGAGAGAGGGGAGGCAGTGAGGGGGAGAGAGGGGAGGCAGTGAGGGGGAGAGAGGGGAGGCAGTGAGGGGGAGAGAGGGGAGGCAGTGAGGGAGGGAGGGGAGGCAGTGAGGGGGAGAGAGAGGGGAGGCAGTGAGGGGGAGAGAGAGGGGAGGCAGTGAGGGGGAGAGAGAGGGGAGGCAGTGAGGGGGAGAGAGGGGAGGCAGTGAGGGGGAGAGAGGGGAGGCAGTGAGGGGGGAGAGAGGGGAGGCAGTGAGGGGGAGAGAGGGGAGGCAGTGAGGGGGAGAGAGGGGAGGCAGTGAGGGGGAGAGAGGGGAGGCAGTGAGGGGGAGAGAGGGGAGGCAGTGAGGGGGAGAGAGGGGAGGCAGTGAGGGGGAGAGAGGGGAGGCAGTGAGGGGGAGAGAGGGGAGGCAGTGAGGGGGAGAGAGGGGAGGCAGTGAGGGGGAGAGAGGGGAGGCAGTGAGGGAGGGAGGGGAGGCAGTGAGGGAGGGAGGGAGAGAGGCGGACAGAGAGATAAGCGGTGAGAAAGAGTGGCAGTGAGGGAGGGATGGGAGGTAGTGTGGGATGGAGGGATAAAGGCAGCGAGGGAGAGAGGCATTGAGGGAGGGAGGCATTGAGGGAGGGAGGCATTGAGGGAGGGAGGCATTGAGGGAGGGAGGCATTGAGGGAGAGGGGGGCAGTGAGAGAGGGAGAGGCAGTAAGGGAGGTTGAAGCAGTGACAGTGGGAGAGAGATTTCACAGAGGAAAATGATAATTCTATTGTCATATGAAGCAAATTTAACATTTTATACAGTGACTGAGATATTTCCACCTGTTTGTGAACTGTCCCAACATCCTAAGCAAATCCGCACAGTTCTCGTTTCGGCAAACCAGAGTTCGTCAAATCGGGTGAGCAAATCCGACCTGAAAAGTGTGCATCCTAAGCGGAGGTTCGCTGAATTGGGTGCCCACTGTACAAGTTTAAGAACATTAGAAGCCTAAAGCAAGTCATTTATATAAATGAGAAATAGATGAGGTCCTAGTATGCTGCCTTGGGTTACTCTTGGGGTTAAATCGGGACACTGAAAAAGGTGATGTCATCGATGACTACATATTAGTATTTATTGTCAAGATGTGATTGAATATAACTACTCTACTGTAACATATATACATATGCAGAGTTCACTGTTGTCATATAATAAATTATATTTAAGTTTTATGTCTGTAAAAACCACAAATTAATGTTGAGCATATACATATGGGAAAAGTGTTCAAATCATTTTTTGTGCATTTATTTCAGGTATTTAGTGTTGAATAGAAGTTAGGAGGGGAGGAGGACTCAGAAACTATAAACACACATTTGGCCTAAACAAAGGCTTAAAATATTCTAGATAGGGGGAAGGGGAGGGGGATTAACAAAACAATTTTAAATTATACAGTACATAAAATCTTATACAAAATTACCTTCTTCAGCCAGTCTTGCTGCAGCAACTAAGCACTTTCCAAGGGACTCTTCTCTCTTGTAAGGTATAGACCAAGTATCTGTAAACACTCTACTCTCTAGTTCATACAAGTTCGTTGCAGGAAACTCCATACTGTTGCCATTTTCTCCATCAACCTGCTGAACATTATCAATTCTTAGGAATATAACAAATTACTCTGTACAGTGCTACAAATATTTCTCAAATTAAGTAATAAAATTTTATGGGTCTACTACTGTATACTGTAAAATAAAAATAAGAAAATTTGTTATGTAGGATCTTCCCGTTCAAAAAGTAAACTGCCTATACAATACTTTATTAAGTCACTTCTTTCAAGATATTCTAATGATTTAGTTTTAATGACCTGAATTTCTATTCAATTGGCACATCACATGTCAGTGATACAATACTGTATGTCTTATTTAATGTGAGGTCTCTATTTCCTGGACATAGTAGTCCAGAGATTTAAACAGCTGAATAACAACTTTCTTTTCCAAGATTTTAGTTTTAACTAATCTATTGTCTTGTAGTTAAAATCCTTTATTACAAGAGCTTGTGCTTCCACTACTGCCTTTATCATATTATGCAGGTCTGTAGCTTCCTCTGCTATCGCAGTGTCTGCTTCATGACATACTCCCAATATAATTTTGCTACCATTTTGAGCTATAGATTCTGGGCATTACATGTTTAATCCTTTATTGTTGTTTGCTGCTAAGTCATTTAGAATGGTTAGGTCATTAACCATTTTGTTCTCTTCAAATACACAAGGAAATCACAATAGCATGATTCTGTACGGGTCTGAGTAGTACAGTAGGATTCGTTCTCGATGCAGAATCAAAAATTCCGGGATCAAATCCTGGGTGGGACAGAAATGGTTGGGCACATTTCCTTTCACGTAAAGGTCATGTTCACCTAGCAGTAAGTAGGTACGTACTTAGGAGATAGTCAGCTTGTTGTGGGGTTGCATCCTGGGGAGGGTCAGTAATTCGACTCTTTGGGGGCCTCGATATAAGCCTAACATTTACTGTATGCTTATACTAGCTCCCTGTCCCCGACACAATGAATTAAATTATTAATTATATAAGGAGAAAACCACTGGAGCAGAGTGGGGATTAGCAAATTGTGGCTCAGAGTTATGGTGTGCATCTGGCATTCACTAGGATACTGGTTCAATCCCTGCTCTGCTCCAGCAATTTTCTCATTGATATATGTATCACACTATAGTGATTTCCATGTGTAATGATGATGATGATGATGAGAAAATCAGTAGAAGCCATGAAAGGGTTCGAACATATGGTCTGGATATTCCCAAGCAAACGCCTTAGACAGTCACTGTCACATGGTAAAAGCACTGCAACCTGGGATTAAACTAAATCCTCTAGGGTTCCTGAGGCTTCCACTGAATCCTAATCAGGGTTTCACACAATGCCCCCCCCCCATGCACTCTGGCTTGTGGTCTCACCCCCTCTGGTGAGTGAGTAGCGGGCAATGCTTAGTAACACTGCATATGGCCTGAGAAATACAAGCCTTGGAACAGGGGGGCCAAGGCGGATTAGCAAAAAAATGCCAGGGTTCAGACACCGAGCAAGCAGCATCTCAAACCAAAGCTGAGCCGCCCAAGCAACCAGGAGGCCTGGTCAGAGACTGGGCTGTGGGGGACACTGATCCCCAAAATTGTAAAAAGATTTAGGTTTACCACTATGGAGCCAGAAGGATCACCCTACTGTGGTAGCACTTCAACCTAGCTAGGACCCAAAGCAATAGCCGGACCAGGGTGAAGAGGTACAGGAACCCCACCTCGACCAGTCCACCCAAAAAACATCTACCACGAAGTCTTCACAATCGGGGAACAGCAATGTATACAGAGAAAGGCACCGAGACCATGCTGATGTGAAGAGGTCCTTTCCAGAGTGCCTGAAAGTTTGGCAAAGTCATAGGAAAGAGGTTCCATGGAGACGGGACAGAACCGACACACTGTCGACGAGGATGTTGGACACTCCCTGGACACAAACGGAATGGAGAACCAAACTCCCAAAACCAGGAGAGCCACACGTGAAAAAAACAGCACATGGGGAGAGGGGGTTACGAACACCCACCCCACTGCAACAAGGACTCACAGAGTTGAACAGGACCCAAGGGCCCCTCACTGAACTTCCCCCAAGCCCCAGAATCTGCAGACGAAAGCCCCAGGGCAGAGCCTGCATCCATGTCCACTGCCTGGGGATATGAAGGCAGTCCTAGGAAAAGGCATCAAAGGAAGAAGGGTCTGGCTGAAAGGAAGAAGGGTCTGGCTAAAAGGAAGAAGGGTCTGGCTGAAAGGAAGAAGGGTCTGGCTGAAAGGAAGAAGGGTCTGGCTGAAAGGAAGAAGGGTCTGGCTGAAAGGAAGAAGGGTCTGGCTGAAAGGAAGAAGGGTCTGGCTGAAAGGAAGAAGGGTCTGGCTGAAAGGTCGAAGGGTCTGGCTGAAAGGAAGACGGGTCTGGCTGAAAGGAAGAAGGGTCTGGCTGAAAGGAAGAAGGGTCTGGCTAAAAGGAAGAAGGGTCTGGCTGAAAGGAAGAAGGGTCTGGCTGAAAGGAAGAAGGGTCTGGCTGAAAGGAAGAAGGGTCTGGCTGAAAGGAAGAAGGGTCTGGCTGAAAGGAAGAAGGGTCTGGCTGAAAGGAAGAAGGGTCTGGCTGAAAGGAAGAAGGGTCTGGCTGAAAGGAAGAAGGGTCTGGCTGAAAGGAAGAAGGGTCTGGCTGAAAGGAAGAAGGGTCTGGCTGAAAGGAAGAAGGGTCTGGCTGAAAGGAAGAAGGGTCTGGCTGAAAGGAAGAAGGGTCTGGCTGAAAGGAAGAAGGGTCTGGCTGAAAGGAAGAAGGGTCTGGCTGAAAGGAAGAAGGGTCTGGCTGAAAGGAAGAAGGGTCTGGCTGAAAGGAAGAAGGGTCTGGCTGAAAGGAAGAAGGGTCTGGCTGAAAGGAAGAAGGGTCTGGCTGAAAGGAAGAAGGGTCTGGCTGAAAGGAAGACCCAGAAGCCTCGATGGGACCAGCAGGCTCAACTGCCTGTGCTGAATTCGGAAGGAGCAACCCTGAAATCCTCAGACACTGGGGCTGGAAGTAGGATGGATGATCAGAGGAAGGCAGAACACCCGGAGGGGAAGGAAGAGGTGAGGATGGAACCAAGGTAGAATTTACCAACACCTGGGGATGTTGGTAAATTTGTAAATTCCAGATCCCTACACACCAAACAGGGCAGCTAAAGGGCCTCCAGTTGGGTATGCAACCTAGTATCTATCTTGAGGTTATCTTGAGATGATTTTGGGGCTTTAGTGTCCCCGTGGCCCGGTCCTCAACCAGGCCTCCACCCCCAGGAAGCAGCCCGTGACAGCTGACTAACACCCAGGTACCTATTTTACTGCTAGGTAACAGGGGGCATAGGGTGAAAGAAACTCTGCCCATTGTTTCTCGCCGGCACCCGGGACCACAGGGTCACAAGTCCAGTGTGCTGTCCGCTCGGCCGACCGGCTCCCGTGTAAACCTAACTTTCATGGTGGTCACTGCCTGATAAACACTAGCCATATTGGGAGGGGTCAGAAAAGTGAGTCACATGGGGAGAACGAACCCCACAGGACTCAGAATCGAAAATGTCACTGACCCAACAGGCAGCATTGTGGAGGCAGAAGGAAGGAAAGGGAACTATTGGAGAAAAGTGCCAAGCCATTACTACTATATAGCACTGGGAAGGGGTCAGGATAAAGATTTGGGATGGGACGGGAGGCAGAAGGAATGAACCTCACCACATGGCATGGACGACGTACAACCCTCAAACTCGCACAAAGCAAGAGCAGGTTTGGAAGGGTTATCCATGGGACCATGAAACCTGCAGAGCCTGAAGCAATTGGACAAACAGGGATCTAGGCACTGGGATGATATGCTGGACATTTAAGTAAAGGATGTCATGCAAATCTATATAGAATGTGTAGTAAGCCAATGCAGCAGCTGTCTACACTGATGTGAAGACCAACCTCTGGACACTATAGTTTAGCATGCGAATACCAGTATGTTCAGGCCGGGATCAGGGAGTAGAAGAACCTGCTCCAGGTACGCTCCAATCCAGCCAATGTCACTCACAACCCGAGTAAAGGCAGGAAAATCCCAAGACATCAGACTCTAGGTGAAGACCACAACAAATGAGGACCTTTTCTAAGGAAGTGACCCTTGAATTCCCCAGGAAAGAGAACGCTGAAGTGCAAGGGCAACATTAGGGAGCACACAGGGAACATAACCCTGTAGACATGCAGCTCCAAGCACCCCATAGTATCTCAATTTAACTCAGGGTCAATAACAAACTAGCTGCTTCAACGAAGATAAAAAGCCGATGGCTTGTCAAAGGTCCCCCCCCACCCCCCAATTTGCCCTGATAATTTGTTTAAGCTGGATTTAAAAATTCAAGTGTTTTGACATTTACAGCTTCAGCAGATAGGCACCTCCATGGGTTTATACCCCTATGGGTGAAAAGAACATCTGTTTTATGTCCTAAATTGTGGTTTGTTGAGCTTGAAACCATTGCTCCTCCTCTGTGTTACATTTGACCTTTTGAAGAAGTTGTCTGTATCAATATCCTCTAAATTGTTCAGTATTTTAAAAGTTTCCATGAGATCAGCCCTATCATGTCTGGTTTGATAGACCTGAATATAGGGCAAGGTGGAGAGACAGGCTCCATCATCAGGCATGGTCAATGGGTATGGGGGTTAAAGAGAGACAAGGCCACAAGACAGGGAAGACAGATGCAACTGGCCACAGAGCAAGGCAGACTGAAAGACTTGGCTGTAATGCAGGGTTGGAGGGAGGGCAGGGTGGGGGGGGGGCAAGAAACAGAACTGTTATAAGACAGGATTGGAGGATGGGGAAGATAGATCTGGCCATAAATAGACAGGACTGTAGGGCATGATTAAAGAGGAAAGACAGAACTGGCCATAATGGAGGGTGGAAGGATGGGGTGACAGAACTAGCCGTTGGCGGGGGGATGGGGTGGAGGAAAGGGGAGGGGGTTGAACACAGCAGGCTGTCTGGTAGGGTGGTGGTAGTGGTGGTGGTAGAGACAGACCTGGTCATAGGAAGGGGGTCTGTGGGCGGGGTCAGCCATCTCCACGTCGCGGAGGTCGTCAACAGTCGTGTAAGAGGACAGCGGCTGCTCCGTCAGGAAGATCACCGCCTCGTTCACGTCCCCGTTGCTCAACTTGAGGGCCCGCTTGATGGCTTGTACGTCCGGGAACCCCATGTTCAGCAACAGGGAGATGTTTTCGTCTTCTTGGTCCATTTTTTCTTTTTAGGGTTTTAGCCCCAAGTCACCATTAACACCTGTTCGGTAGGGACGGACACTTTTTAAGTTTCAGGGAAATGCCACGCCACAGCAACAGGTGAAGCGTGAAACCACGACGTTTCTCAAAAATCTATCACATGATTTTCATATGTACATGCTCACAAGGTTCTATAAAAGCCAAGATAAACGCGTGGCATCAGCATGGTAGGTTGTTGTGGAGAAGTCGACGACTGGTGCAACGGTTCCCCCACAATGTTTACAACTACTGGCCAACTTGGACAATATACGCGCTCCCATACTGTTGACATACCTCCTCTTACCTCCACACTTCATCATTAGCCTTTTCCATTTCATTTTTTTATAAACATTAATAAATTGCATTATTTATGGTAATTATCTTTACTATGTTATTCCCAAGGTAAGATAAGATCATGACGTGATTGTCATGCTTGGGGGGGGGGGCGTTCATCTTCCCATTTTCTTTTTCTTAGGAATATACAGAAATGTGCTGCTACTCTATTCTATATGAAACGTTACAAATTGTAGATAAAAAAAATTTAGCTATAAGTTTATCTAATATCTTCATCTCACAGGCTGGTTAGTCATAGCAGCTAGTTAGTTAGTTAGTCATAGTCAGAGGGTCCCGGTAGAACAGTTAGGTTCGTTCTTGAGGCACACCAGAGAATTCCGGGTTCGAATCCAGGGCGGGACACATTTCCTTTCACCTAATACGCCTATTCACCTAGCAGTACGTAGGTACCCAGGAGTTAATCAGCTTGTTGTGGGGGTTGGGTTGTATCCTGGGCGGGGTCAGTAATTCGACCTTTGGGGTGGGGGGGGGGCTTGATATAAGCCTAACGTGTAAGAATACATTCTGGCTTCCTGTCCCCTGACACAATGAACTAGTATTATTACATAGAATCACGAGAAAACGTGGAATGCGAGGCTGCTGCACTAGCAAATTCTGAGTAGAACCCAGGAATATCTCCCAATATTCATGACTGTATGAAGTAGTTACAGAGCTCAAAGTACCTCATACCATTTGGTCTGAAATCTATGATAACAGGCCAATCACAGTTATAGTGTTGGAGAGGATGTCCTAGCGCTTCTTCACCTAGTTTACACTCGAAATGTTCATCATTAGGAGATTCATGACCTGCAGCCACCTGCCATAGATCTCGATATCCCAGCTTAATTCTGGCAATTACAATGGCACACTGTCTATTGGATATTTTATGCTGCTCGTACATATAATTCTCGGTTCTAAACATATCATAGCTTTTTATACTCATGCTATCTGGCCTTTGATTGTCAGTGACTGCTCTTCTGTCTTCCATAATTTCTTGAAATTTGCAGCCTTTACAACAGAGATTGGAATGGCCGTATCAAACTCAATTTCAGGTTTATCATATGCAGTTTCAGCTGCCTTGTCTGTATCATCATGCTGGACAATATCTATATGAAATGGTATCCATACACATGAGACTCTAAACCTCTTGCTCTGTGCATTAATTTTTTTTTTGCAGGTAAATTCCTGCGCGGGCCCTAAGCCTCTGGCTGGCCCACTGTGCATTAATAATGTTGTTTATAATGGATGTTACAACATTCCTAGTATCTATTTTACATGTTTGGTTTTTAGGTGCTTGAAGAACTGACTTTGAATCACAGAAAATTCCACCTCCACTGTTTTTCAGTGCGTTAGTGGCAAGTTGAAGTGCAGCTAATTCTGTATGTATTCACCTAGTTGTGCTTGCGGGGGTTGAGCTCTGCTCTTTAGTCCCGCCTCTCAACTGCCAACCAATCAACTTTTTTTTTTTAGATAAGCCAGTTATTCAGTCTTACACTTGTGGTGTGTGTACATATGTTGTCTTTATATATTCTACAGGTTGCTGCAGTGCGACCTGTTGACATTTGAACACACCATCAGCGTAAGCATAGGCTCATGAGGCCGTAAGTTTTAAAATATCAATAGTTTACAAAGGAATCTCTATAGACTATAAATAAAATGTATAAAGGAATCGATAGTTTCAAGACACACAGAAATTACAATAGCGTGACGCATCAAATGAACAAATCCACAAGGGCCGTGATAAGGGGTCCAACCTACGTCCGAGAGGATCCCAGACGCGCCTTAATCGTCTGTGCCACGACATGGTAAAATAATTGCAACCAGGAGTTCAACTGCCCTCCCAACTGTGGGAGGGCAGTTGAACTCCCGGTTGCAATTCTTTTATGCAATGGGATTATTAATCTGTTACGAAAAACAGGTGATATGCACATTATAACGAACTGGAGGCCACTTTCTTTGCTCAACCAAGATTACAACAAATGTTCGAAACTGTTAGCGAATAGATAAGGTTATAAAGGATAAAATCGTATCCAAGGAACAGCTCTGTGGGGTGCCAGGAACATACATAATAAATCGTAATAATGTAATAAGGGATGTTGTGTATTATATTTCTGAGAATAATGTTTCTTCCGCCATGATAAACCCCGACTGGACCAATTTTTGACCGCGTTGATGTTAGGTTTATATTAGACATTGGATAGAGTAGGAGTGCCACCAGAATTTATTGATTGGATTCGTATGCTTGATAAACTGTGTCGGGGTAGCGAGATTGTATCAATGGGGTCTTGAATTAGCCCTTTTAAATTGAGCGATCGGTACGCCAGGGATGTCCCCGTTCAATGATTTTATATGTTATCTTTCAAGAGCCCCTGTACTTGACATTCAAAGACAATGACTATTGTTCCACCGTTTTCTCCCAGTGCTATTGTAATAACTGTACGATCCCCGCTACTGATAATGTAATAGTGAATGTTCTGCCGATCTTGTAATATGTTAACACTCAGGCCGTCATGCAAGGACCTAAACCAATTAATCAATATAGACTGAGGACTGCGTAGGCAACTTAAGGGAGTAGAACGTGAGAGAGTGAGGGAGAGAGAGAGAGAGAGAGAGAGAGAGAGAGAGAGAGAGAGAGAGAGAGAGAGAGAGAGAGAGAGAGAGAGAGAGAGAGAGAGAGAGAGAGAGAGAGAGAGAGAGAGAGAGAGAGAGAGAGAGAGAGAGAGAGAGACAGAGACAGAGAGAGGGAGAGCGTATGTGAGGGAGAGCGTGTGTGTGAGGGGGAACGAGAGTGAGTGAGGGAGAGCGTATGAGGGGGAACGAGAGTGAGTGAGGGAGAGCGTATGAGGGGGAACGAGAGTGAGTGAGGGAGAGCGTATGAGGGGGAACGAGAGTGAGCGAGGGAGAGCGAGAGCGAGTGAGGGAGAGCGGGATAGAAATATTAGTTGCTACAGCCTTTGAATGACTTACCAAGTAACGCTGCCACCACCCTGAGTTACCGGACAGGGGACCAGAGTGAGATTCGTAGGACTTGTAGATTGTGTAACCCTACCAGGACAGGTGTAAGGGACCACTGAATGGTAAAAGGATCCTGGCCTGTCATTCGAATAATCCTTCCCAATATACAGAGGTCCAAAACGTTATGCGTGCCAGTGGCTTCACAAGAATGTAAAACTTCGTCTCTGTACTCTCATAAACCCAATGTACCTTCTTGTATATAAATAAATAAATAAATAAAGTACCCGGGAGTAAGGCTGGACGCACCCAGTACTGACACCTCAACAAGGGACGGGCGAGGGGAGGAGTACTGGATAATTAAGGACACTAGGTCACTAGGGCAAAGGGGACGGTAGGCCCAATATCACTAAGACAAGGAACCATTAATACACACTAGAATGACTTAAAAATATATGCCTTTATTTGAACACACTTAAATAGACACTTTCCTAACTATATTCCCTAACAGAAGCAAAGAATAAATGAGTGATAAGGTGCTTTAGTTCAAGAGAGCCGTAATGACTCGAATGGTGTTCCACAATGATCTCGAGATGATGTTCTCTCCCGGTGTCCACCCACACCTTCCTCCTGGGCTTCTCCCACTCTACTGTCTCTCGACGTGATCTCCTGCTCCCCATGTTGTTGTTGTTATAGAGTAAGCTACTCGGAACAAGTTCCAAGTAGCATGGGCTATGGTGAGCCCGTAACTTACCTGGCACAGGAGCGGGGCAAGTAGCACGGGCTATAGTGAGCCCGTAACTTACCTGGCACATGAGCGGGGCAAGTAGCACGGGCTATAGTGAGCCCGTAACTTACTTGGCACAGGAGCGGGGCAAGTAGCACGGGCTATGGTGAGCCGGCGGTGGAATTACCTGGCACAGGAGCGGTGCCCTCCTGCTCCCCAGCAGAAGATTGATAGAGATTAAGCCACTCAAAAGGTGGCACGGGCATGAATAGCCCGTTATCCCCAGCTGAACATGAGGGCTTGCACTTGATGTGGAGGGTTTACTCCCTATAGATTATCATGATGGCATCAACTCTGACCGCTTCGTGACTCCGTGACCGTTAACCTGTCCACCTGGTTAACCTGTCCACCTGGTTAACCTGTCCACCTGGTTAACTTCTACACACGTGTGAATTTTCTTTTGTCTGGCGCTGCCTGTCTGTGGCTTGTTCATGCTGTTATGATGTTCATGTTGTTCTACTATGTACTGCTCTCTTGTTACACTATGACGCTTCATGTTGTTGGTTATGCTGACGATACCACTATTTTTGTGTCGACAGAAGACTCAGTTATGAATGTTCAGGATGAGTTAGACAACTTTGAGAGGGGAACATGTGCCACCATTAACAAGAACAAAACGTGTATGATGGGGCTTGGGAGCTGGTGCACTAAAGTTACGTGGAAAGGTTCATGTTTGCGGGTAGTTGAGTCTATTACAGCTCTTGCCACTTGCTGGTGTCAAACATATGGGACAACATTGGGTACGAATTGGCAGGTACATGTAGATATATAATAGCTACAAATATGTTATCAAATAAGAAATTAACCCTGTTCCAGAAGGCTCTAATAATCAACTGTAAAAGTCTGTCTAAAGTATGGTATTTGTATAAGTTTTCCAATGGATAAGAAAATTGCCGTGGAGATTAAAAACTATTTTTAAATATATATGGTATGGGAGATAGCAATTGATTACACTATGTAAACGTAAGATAAACGGTGGGATAGGGATACTGAATGTGTACCATAAGTCACTGGCTATCTTGTGTGTTACCTTCATAAAGGAAATTTGCAAAGAAATAGTGAAAATGTATTGGAACATTAAATTTGTAAAATACGTGTTAGGTGTTTGATACATATGCCAGAGTATACTGACCCTGTATTTCCCTCTCACTTTTATTCTTGAACAATTAACGTTATCAGGCAGATTTATAATG